TGAATTCCTACTAGCAAAGAATGAGAGTTTCTGTCGCCCCATACTCTCACCAGCATTTGGCGTCATCAGTGTTCTGGGTATGGATCATTCTATAAGTGTGTACTGGTTTTTCACTGTTTTAATTTGAATTTCCCTGATGACAGTGATGTGGAGCATCTTTTTAGATGCTTATTTGCCACCTGTGTATCTTCTTTGGTGAAATGTCTGCTTAGGTCTTTGGCTCATTTTTAATTGGGGGAGTTTATGTTCTTATTGTTGAATTTTTAAAGTTATTTGCATATTTCAGATAATGATTCCTTATCTGATAAGTGTTTTTCAAATATTTTCTCTAAGTCTGTAGCTTGTCTTTATTCTCGAGAGTGTCTTTTACTGAGTAGAAAACTGTAATTCTCAGAAATCCAGCTGATCAATTCTTTCCTTCATGGATCATGCCTTAGGTGTTGCAACTAAAAAGTCACTGCCAAACCCAACATCATCTAGATTTTCTCCTGTGTTATCTTCTAAGACTTTTACCATTTTTTGGTTTATATTTAAGTCTGTGGCATATTTTGGGTTAATTTTTGTGAAGGATGTAAGATCTATATAGGTTCTCTTTTTCCCACGTGGATGTCCAGTTGTTCTAGTACTATTTGTTGAAAAGACTATCTTTCCTCCACTGTATTGCCTTTGTTCCTTTGTCAAAGACCAATTTACATTTATGTAGGTTTATTTCTGGACACTCTATTCTGTTCCATTGATTGATCTATTCCTTTGCCAAGTACACCCTGCTTTGATTACTGTATGTACCTTTATAGTGTGTCTTGAAGTCAAGTACTGCAGTCCTCTAACTCTGTTCTTCCCTTTCAATAATGAGTTGGCTATTCTGGGTCTTTTGACTCTCCACGTAAACTTTTGAATCAGTTTGTTAACATACACAAAATAATCTGCTAGGAATCTGATTGGGGTTGCAATGAATCTATAAATCAAGTTTGGAAAAACTGCATCTTGACAATATTGGGTCTTCCTATTTATGAACATGGAATATATTATCTTTTCATTGAGTTCTTAATTGATTTCTTTCATCACAGTTTTATGGTTTTTCTTATGTAGATCTTGTGCATATTTTGTTGGATTTAAGTCTAAGTATCCAATTTTGGGGTGCTAAAATAAATGATATTATGCCTTTAATTTCAAGTTCTACTCGATCACTGCCAATATACAGAAAAAAGATTTTGTACATTAACCTTTATCCTGTACCTTTACCATAATCAGTTATAAGCTCCAAGGGGTTTTTTGTTGATTCTTTGGGGTTTTCTAAATAGATGATCATGCCATCTGTGAACAAGGACTGCTTTACTGATTCCCTCCCAATCTGTATAGCTTTTATTTCCTCGCCTTGTCCTACTTCATTAACTAGTACTTCAGCACAATGTTGAAAAGCAGTGGTGAATGGTATAAATCCCTGCCTTGATCTTAGTGTAAAAGTTTTGAATTTCTCACTGTTAACACATTTGAGATCAGCAAAGTTTTCACTTTCCTAATACTGACAGCCAGTGAAAATGAGAAAAACCTGAAGCTGGTCGCTGAAAACATCTGCCGTTAAGCACAAGTGAAATGGTCTTTGCTAAATTGTCACTTTTTTTTTTACAGCACAGCTGAAAGTTGGAAACATATCCGGTATTTGCCTCAGGCACTCCTCTAACTAACATTCCATACTTTGTATTTTTATTGGGATTATAAAAAAAAGACAGTTTTCCACAGTGAGGTATCATGGATTCATCCAAGGAAAGTTCTTGTTCAGGTTTGTACGCAGTGTTGAACTTATTTAAAACATAATTTATTATGGGTTCAATTTTGCATAATCTGCTCGGATCTGACTGCATTTCTGCATATTGGAAAAATGAAAAAACCCCAAAATAGATTGCAGGAATCTATTTTATGTCATTATTTTTAAAAAGAAAGGTATCGCCAATTGACAGGCATGTTGACCAATAATCATGTATTGTAGTTTTCTTTACTTGTCCCATCAAAATATTTAGTGGGCAAAATATAGTAACACACAAACATATGACAACGTTGCACCATTTGGAAACAGAATTTATAAAGACATAAATTCACATCAGCAGCAACCAGGAACAGAATTTGGAATGATGTAAATTCACATCAGTGGTCGTGAATGAGTTAAGTATGAAGTTAGTTGTAGGCTTTTTGTAGATATTATCAAGTTGAGGAAATTCCTCTTTATTCCTAGTTTACTCAGAGTTTTTATCATGAACGGGTGTTGTATTTTGTCAAATGCTTTTTCTGCATCTCATATGACTTTTCTTTAGATAACAGATTACATTTCTTTTCAAATGTTGAACCAGTCTTATATGCCTGGAATAAATACCACTTGATAAAGTTCTTTTTATACATTATTGGATTTGCTAATATCTTATTGAAAAAAAACTCTGCATCTACATTTATGAGAGATATTTGCCTGTAGTTTTCTTTTCTTCTAAGTTCCTCACCTTGTTTTGGTATTAAGGCAATGCTGGCCTCACAGAATGAGTCACAAAGTATTCCTTTTACTTCTATCTTCTGAAAGAGACAGTAGAGAACTAGCCAAACTTCTTCCTTAAATTTTTGGTAGCATTCACCAGCGAAACTATCCGGGTCTGGTGCTTTCTGCTTAGGAAGGTTATTAACTATTGATTCCATTTCTTTAATATGTACAAGAGACCTTTAATATGTACAAGAGACCTATTCAGGTTATATGTTTCTTCTTGTGCAGGTTTTGGCAGATTGTGTCTTTCAAGGAATTGGTGTATTTCAACTACGTTATCAAATTTGTGGGCACAAAGCTGTCCATAGTATTCCTCATTCTTTTTATGCCCGTGGGATCTGTAGTGATGTCTCTTTTGAATTTTGGTATTAGTAATTTGTGTCCTCTTGCTTTTTTTTTCATTGTCCTGACTAGTAGCTTATAAATTTTATTGATCTTTTCATCAAATAACACCAGATTTTGGTTTTATTGATTTTTTTCCCCATTAATTCCTATTTTCAATTTCATTGATTTTTGTTAATTTTTAATTTCTTTTATTCTGTTCAGTTTGGATTTAATTTGCTCTTCTTTTTTAGTTTCCTAAGATAGAAACATTGATTTTAGATATTTGTTTTCTAATACATGCATTAAATGCTATAAATTTCTCCCTAAGAACTGCTTGTGCTGCATCCCACAAATTTTGTTGATTTCATTTTCATTTAGTTCAAGATATTTCTTAATCTACCTTGAGATTTTTTCTGTGATCCATTTATTATTTAAAAGTGTGCTGTTTAATCCCCCATATCTGGGGATTTTCCAGCTTTCTTTGTTATTAATTCTTAGTTTCATTCCACTGTGGTCTGAGAGCAAACAATGAATGATTTCCATTATTTCAAATCTTTTAAGGTGTGTATTGTGGCCCACATGCGGTTTATCTTGGTGAATGTTTGGTGTGAGCTTGAGAAGGAGATCTACTATGCTATTGTTGGATGGATAGTCTGTAGATGTCTATTATATCCAGCTGATGGTTTGTTGAGTTCAACTATGCCCTTAACGGTTTTCTGCCTGATGGATATGCCCAGACATATCCAGGTATTTCAATTTCCAACTATAATAGTGAATTCCTCTAGTTCTTTTTGCAGTTCTATTAGTTTTTGCCTGTGTTTTTACTTTATGTTTTTCAGTTCCAAATATTCTGTTAACTATTTATTACATATTTCATTCCTTTGATGAGATTTTCCAATTTTTTGTTTGTTTCAAAAGTGCTTGTAATTGCTTGTTTAAACTTCGTTAATTTAACTGATTTAAAAGACTCATCTGATAATTCAACACCTGTCATCTTCATATTGGTATCTATTGAGTATTTTTTCTCATTTAAGTTCAGATTTTCTTGGTTGGTGGTAAGATGAGTAATTTTCATTATATTCTGGTCATTTGGGATACTGTTATGAGACTGGATCACATCTAATCTTGCGCATTAGCAAGCCTTTACTAAGACTGTGCCAGCAAGAAAAACTGCTGGCAGGAAAACGAGGGCACTGAACCTTTACTACTGTGGTTTGAAGTCCTGGCCTCTCCACAGTGCCTCCAATGACACAGAGAAGTATCCTATTAACCACTGGAAAGGGCTGGAAGTTCATGCTCCTCACTCAGCCTCCACTGACACTGTTGGAGGGGACTAATACCTTGTTACTGCTGCATGTGGTTGAGGTCCAGGCTTTCCACTTTATGTTCACTGACTTTACCACTAGTGGAAAAGGACAATTCATCACCACAGAGCAGGGGTAGAAATCCACTGACACAGAAGGAACAGGGGATGGCAGGGAGTGGAATATGTTACTGCTGGGTGGTGGGTTTCTTAATTTGGTCACCACTGGCACCACAGGAAGAGAAAAGGATACCTTGCTCCTGCTGGGTGGGAGGTCAGAGTCTAGACTCTATTTAACTTCCTCAGTGGGAAAAAGAAGGAGTATGTTTAATATCAAATAAATTTTCATCTTTCTAAGCTGACCCTTTCTCAGTCCTCTGGCAAGAGAGAACAGCTTTTTCTTGGGGCTTTTGTGGAGGGGTCTGTGCCAGTTGGTATTTCTGGTTTGGAAGCATCGTCAGAGATACAGAGGAAACAAAAAGAAATCCAAGGAACTTGCTGCTATGTCATTTCCTGAGTTCCAGGGTCCCTAGCCTCTTTTCTTCACTTTTGAAAATCTTCTTACATTTGTCTTATATATAATGTTCAGGGTTTTAGGTGTACTTAGTGGGAGGAATAAGAGATGTGGCTATTCTATTTAGTGCAGAACAATGGTACATGTGTGTTTAAGGAATTAAAAACTGGACTTAATACTTATACCCCTTATCTCTATAAAAAAATAAATAAATATACTGGACTTACCTTAATTTTATACAGAGTCAACATAAAAAAAATCAACATAAACGAAGAACCAGAGAAATAAGTAAAAGTTATTTTTTCTTAAAATCCCATCTTCCATAGAAATGTTACCTTTCTCAGCTGCCCTCCTGATCTTGGGAATAGTGAATTTCTTCAAGGGATTGACTTCCATACCAGTAATTAGTGAAGATTCACTAGTTGAGCTCATTTTCCACAGTGTCTTATGATTTACTATCTCTTTCATTTCCATCTTCTTGGTGGCCTAAAATCAATAAAGGGTATTAAGCAAAAAGTCAATAAATATATAAAAGGCAACAGCAGTAAAATCATTTAAAAGTTTTTCAATGAAATTAAATTTAAAAATATTACTGGTTATACTGTCAACAGATTTCCATCTCAGTTTGCCAAGTTACCCCAAACACAAAATAAATGAACAACTTTAGCTTTTATGCAACATTAAAACTATTTTTAAAAAAGTTTTTAACAGACACGTTACTTATAGCTCATGTAACTGGATAACCAATAGCTTCCATGGTCCTGAGATGCTTAAAAACTTCCAGACAGGACCAGGCACGGTGGCTCAAGCCTGTAATCCCAGCACATTGGGAGGCTGAGGTGAGAGGACTGCCTGAGCCCAGAGGTTTGAGACCAGTCTGGGCAACTTGATGAAACCTCATCTTTACGATATATCAAAAAAAATAAAATTAGCTGGGCATGGTAGTGCGCACCTGTAGTTCCAACTACTTGGAAGGCTAAGGTGGAAGGACTGCCCGAGTCCAGTAGGTTGATGCTAGGGTGGCCGTGAGTGAGTCACTGCACTCCAGCCTGGGAGACCCTCACTCAAAAACAAAACAAAACAAAAAAAGCCTATAGATAAAATAATTTTTATAAACATTTGATAAAATTCCTGCCAAATAATCCATTTTAAACAATATTTTTCCTATACACTTCAGTGATGATATTCTCTTTAAGTCAGAATATTCTCCTTTGGTTCAAGAAGCTCTGGAAAGTTGTAAACCAACTATTGCTCGACTATCCCTAGAGCTGATGGCCAACAATCACTCATTAAAGTTCTATAGCATCATTCTACAAATGCTTAAGACATCATATATTGTTATATTAGCAATATTAAATATATTCTTCCCTTTCCTCTTTTTTCTTCTTTCTCTCTCTTTCCAATTTCCCTCCAACCCCCACATAAACACTGATTCTTAACCTCTAGGTAGAACTAACTAGTTATCCAAAAAAAAAAAAAAAAAGTTATGGTGCATACACACAGAAAAATATATGTAAGCAAATATCTTTCATACCATTTCATAATATGGTGGATGATGGATCTTCTGATACCTATCAATGGCTTGTTCAAACATTACATCACAATCAAAATTAAAAGTTGTCAAAATTCTACAGAATTTCACAAAGGATAAGATTCTACAGAAGGCTCATAAAGGATTTCCCCTTCAATCCCCTCTGCTGTTCTTTATGAAAGGTGATCTTGCAATCTCACAATCAAACGTGGATCAGAATAGGGAATGAAAAAAACCTCTGGAAAGAAGAGAAGAAAATCAGCCCTTCTCTCATCCAGCTACATTGACAGTCACTAGTGTGGTATTACCTTCTAACAAGAATATCCTTAAGATATACTAGCTCCAGAGATAGCTGTCAAGACCGCCATGTTCACCTGGCAGTTCAGTAAGAAGAAGGGAGAACAATTTATCTAGAATAACTTGTATTTTTAAAAAATTCTTCAATTATTTATGATCTACAGTAACTTCACATAAAGGTATAGAACAATCAGTTGAATATACTTTACATGAAGGGCCAAGTGCTGATACAATCCTCAATACTACCTTTAAATACTTCAGAAAAGCTAGACGATTTATAAAATGTTTCTTTCATGGAATTTACTTATATAGGAAAGATTCGTGAAATTCACAGATTTAGTTCCTAAATGCTTACTTAGGACAATATTTTGTCACAAAGAGCTAATGAAAGAAGAATATTCAGGACACAATGTTACTCAATAACCCCCATTAGATGAGTCACACCTAGCAATTTTTCAATTTTTACCCTTCAAACAGGAATAATAACCCTTTAACTTCAGCCTAAATAAATCAGCTATGTTAAAGTGATAACAAAAAACGTATACATTTTTTATGCTCATATATCACATACCCATAATCATTGTATTTATATTATTTTTACATATATATGCAAAAACATATCATGTAATATATTACAAATCATATAATATACAATAGTGCTACAACCATTATTAATATATATTACTTCTTAAATGTAAAAATAAAATCAGAAAGTTTGAATTTTGAGGGTTTATGTTGAGGCTGTCCTCTGGAGTCCTGGGCTATTCTAGGTAGAGAAAAAAATCAATTCTAAAAAGTCCAGGAACAGTTAATACACAAGGCAATGCACACAGGAGTCTTTAACAAATATCCAAATGAATAAAGAACAAAGGAACCCAAAACAAAAGGGTTCTCCAATAATTAAAACATCTATTCATGTAGGCAGTAGCACGTTCGTGGCTACCACAGCCTTAATCTGCTGGACTCAAGTGATCCTTCTGTCTCAGCCTCCTGAGTAGCTTGGACTACAGGCACATGCCACTACGCTCAGCTGATTTTTTATTTTATTGTAGAGATGAAGTCTAACCATGTTGCCCAGACTGGTCTCAAACTCCTGGGCTCAAATAATCCTCTCTCTTCCATCACCCAAAGTGCTAGGATTATAGGTGTGAGTCACTGTGCTTGACCTTCATGTAGGTTTTAAGAGTATGTATATCACGAACAACTTTAAGCCAATTAATACATTCAAAGATTAGGCAAAATAATAAATTCTTTCAAGTACCAAAACCGATTCAAGAATAAAAAGAATAAATAATCCTACTATTAAAAAAATTAAATTGGTAGTCATAAATTGATTCTAAAAGTAAATAAAGATAATGATGATACATCACAAATAAGCTGAGAATATCTCAGAAATGCAAGAGTGATTTAACAATAGGGAACAGGTACATTTCATTTACTACATAAATCAACTCAAAAAGTAAAATTAAGTGATTATCTCAATAGCTGCAGAGAAGGCATTTAGTCAAATTCAAAATTCATTTGGGATTTTTAAAGTCTTAGAAAATGAGAATAAACTAAAAACAGTCATAAGTTGATGACAGGTGCCTACTGAATATTTATAACATATTGGTAAATGTCAGAAGCACTCCCTTTTACACTAAGAACAAAATTAAAATATCCACTATCGCTGCTTCCTTTTAACAGTGTACTGGAGGTGCTCCCAAGGACAGAAGACAAGAAATAAAAGATATACAAGGCTGGGCTTGGTAGCTCAGCCTATAACCCAGCATTTTGGGAGCCCGCAGGTTCGAGACAAACCTGGGCAACTTGGTGAGACCTCATCTCTACAATAAATAAAAAATTAGCCAGATGTGGTAGTACGCGCTTGTAGTTCTGGCTACTTGGAAGGCTGAGGCAGAAGGATAGCCAGAGCCCAGTGAGTCAAGGTTGCGGTGGCCATGAGCATGGCACTGCACTCTAGCTTGGGCGATGGAGTGAGACTCCAACTCCAATTCCAAAAAAAACCAAAAACCAAAAAAACATATACTAGGGGGACCCAAAAAAACCTGGAATTCTCTTTTGGAGGACGAGCCCCTTATAGTACACTGAGAATTTGTTCCTTCACATCAAGTCGTCAACTCAAGTTTTTATCTGAAAGTTTTGAGAAGGTTGCATCACAATTTGCAAAACAAACATCCTGAGTTGTGGCAAATAGGTGACCAGTTCTTCCACCATGACAACACACCTGCCCATACTGTACTGCGTATTTAGTAGTTTTGACCCCAAAATGGCATGACCCCTGTGGCCCACCCTACCTATTCACCCAATCTCGCCCCAACCGACTTGTTTTCCCTGATGAAAAAAGTCCTCAGAGGGAAACATTCTCCCAATGTGGAAGAGGTGAAATAAAAATGGCAGAAGTGCTCAACGGCATCCAAACTGATGAGTTCAAAAACTGTTCTGAGCAGTGAAAAAGCATTTTGAGCCACTGCCAGGCCATTGTGGCCACTGCCTTATTAAACTCTGGTGTGGCCATGCACTCTTTCAGCTATGGCTGTCACCATGTTTCCTGGCTTTGGCCCACTTCCCTACCCTGGGGAGGTGAATCTCCTCTTTCTTTCTCTAATTTACTTTTAAATAAATGATATTTTCTAATGTAAAAAAAAAAGGAAAAGCATCTTGATAGATGAACTGCATCAAACAGAGAGTATTGGAAGATGACTGAAGTTTAAATATGTAAGAACAAATACACAATTTTTAATAAATAAATTCCATATTTTGGGGACTTCTCCATCATAAAGGAACTAAAAAGTTAAAGGGGAAAAAAAAAAAAAAAAGAAAATAGGTTCCATAGGCTTAGGAATTTCTAGGAATGAGAGTGCGTCTCAGGTCATAAGGGAAGCTTAGACCCAAATACCAGAGAGATCAATAATGGATGTTACCTAGAAGGCAAAAATGTCTTAATGGTTCTATTGTTAATTAACAATGTTATTTTGGGCAAAATTCTCTACTTTGATGCTAATAATAGTACCTATACCCCATGAGATTGCAGAACCTGGTATACAATAACTGCATACAATTAAATGTTAATGTAATCCTAAAGTCTGTGTTATGGAATCAAACTATTATGGAGTTTATCAGGAAGCACAGTACTATAAAGATATATTAGAAGTCAAGTGATGTTGGGTCTAATTCTAGTTCTGCAATTAACCAATGATGAAATCTTGGGAAAGTTACTAATTTTCTTTTCAGGGCATTACTTTGTGTGCATTACGAATGGCAATATGTTTTTCAGAGACAAATTAATGGCAAAGGAAACAAATCACTTTTATATCAAATAGGCAATCTAAAGACTTAATCCTCTCAATCCTGTTCTACTTTAAAAAGATATTTGTACTGATCTTCCTAAGACTATCTTAAAAATTGGGAACTTCAATACTTGAGACCATTGGTTATAGATAAGATATTAATAATGAAAAACCTGTAAAATCTTTTAACTGATTAATATCGAAGAGTCTTTAATAACAGAGTATGGTGTTCAAACTCAACAACTTTAATCTCAGAACTCCTTCAGTAAGATGCAATTGCTATCAGTTATTTTAAAATTTCCCAGTCAATATGAGCCAACTCAAGATTATCTTAGATACATAAAGCATTAGTGACA